TTCCTGCTGTTGGTTCAGCATCGCAATGAACATCTGTTTCTCATGATCCACGATGTCCTTTACTTGCGCCGCTCTGTGACACATTTCTTCTGCCTCCATATCCTCCGTCGCTTCTGATTTATTAGCTCTTTTCCCTCTTTGAGGCATTTTAGTAGTTGTAAAGTATGCTCAAAGACTTGAAATATAGAACAGACAAGAGGAGCAGTAAAGATGTCTGCTCTCGCTTGCAACCCGGAAACACTAGTGCTCTAAACTGGATTTCTCTGATAACCTTCTCTTGTAGATATGCCATCGCCCTGGCCCTCAGAGAGAAGCAGAGGGTGATCTTCACCAGCCCCATCAAGGCTCTCTCCAACCAGAAATACAGAGAGATGTACGAAGAGTTCCAGGATGTGGGGCTGATGACTGGGGATGTCACCATCAACCCCACTGCCTCCTGCCTTGTCATGACTACTGAGGTGGGACACAGTAATGTTTGAAAAAAGTGGAGTCACCTTTATTGGTTGATGGTTTTTGGAAAGCAGCGCCCTAGAGTTTGGTCTAACATGAGAAACGTCTTTTCTTCCAGATCCTGAGGAGCATGTTGTACCGAGGCTCAGAAATCATGAGAGAAGTGGCATGGGTCATCTTTGATGAGATCCACTACATGAGAGATGCAGGTGTGTTCAGAATACAAACTCCACAGACACAATTGACTAACCCACAGTCACTGTAGCTGTAACATCTGGCCTTGTGCAGGAAGCACCGGTTTGAACACATTTGACACCTGGAACATGACATACTTAAAAGAAAATTTAAGAAATGGAATTTTAATTTGCATGGCACTGCTAAACTATTTTTTTTGCCTTTCTGTGAATGAAACCTTCCCACAAACAGAGCAGACAGTCAGATCCCATGAACACACACCTCCTCATGAGCAGGTGGCGTTCATCGGGCTGAAACAAGCCATTTAGGGCAGATTTGTGCATTTGTTTACTTTGTTAATAGCGAGCCAGTCTCAGATTAAGAGAGGACAAGAAGACCCACTGTTAGTAACATACTCTACGTTCTGTGTGTTTTAGAGCGTGGTGTGGTGTGGGAGGAGACCATCATCCTTCTTCCTGACAACGTGCATTATGTCTTCCTGTCAGCCACCATCCCCAATGCCAGACAGTTTGCTGAGTGGATTTGTCACCTACATAAACAGGTGGGGTGTTGTAACTGCCATATATTATAGATTACATTCTCTTTTTCATGTATGTAAAGTGAGTACACAACAAATGTCTATATAAAGGTATCGGGGTAACATTTGTTGTTTTTCTCTTTTTACATAATTAATGAAGGGTTTGTGTCTTGTGTCCTTTAGCCGTGCCATGTAGTGTACACAGACTACCGTCCTACTCCACTGCAACACTACATCTTTCCAGCAGGGGGCGATGGACTCCACCTGGTGGTCGATGAGAATGTAAGGACACCTATGAACTACACTTGCTGGATTCTATCAGAGTCATGAAAAAAGTGATAAACAAATCCTTTGGAGCTAGAAACAAACTAAATGTGTTTGGCCTCTTTTGTCGCTTCATTTTTCATGCATCCATTGTGACCAATTCCTACATGATGGGTGTCTTCTGATATCTCTGTGTTCACAATTTTCTTCAGGGAGACTTCAGAGAGGACAACTTCAACACAGCTATGCAGGTGCTGAGAGATGCAGGGGATTCTGGGAGCAGTGGAGGTGGCAAGTGGGATCCAAGAGGACGCAAAGGAGGAACTAGGGGTGTGTGTCAAAGTTAAAAGTTAAAACCTGTAATTGTCTTTAACTTAGTAATGCACATCAGATGTCATGTCTGTGTGCTCACATGTGATTTCCTTAGGTCCATCCAGTGTGTTTAAGATAGTGAAGATGATCATGGAGAGGAAC